CTCGATGCCCAAAATCACTCTGCCTTGCCCTTTCAGCAGCATTCCTCCATTTACTTGCTCTCATGCAGTGACAGGGCATTGCTAGCCTCACCTGTTGGCTGCGACAGTACGGACCATTTCAGTGTGGCGCTTTCTGGCTTCTGGCAATGGTGACGAGAAGTGTTGGTGGTGGTGATGTTTGCGACCATTAAAATGCCTCGGGTTTGGGAAACAGAGGATGACACGGAGGAACGCCTGGACATTGGTGGGACCACAAGCACCTCCTCGTGGCAGCACTGCGTTCATTTGTGTACCTTTGGTGGTTGTCTCGCCACTGGTTGAAGGAAGGGGAAGGGAGGAGCAACGTCTACGGTGGAGTGACGTGGCACACTGTTCTGCAGTGAGGAACACTGGCAGGGTGAAGAGTCTGACAATGGCTCTCACTTCACATTTGTTCACGATGAAGCTATCAGCGTTGATGGGAGCAGTTGCGACGACTGAGGACATTCGATGCGACATTGCAGAAGTGATGCTATGGAGGAATGTCGACGAGAAGGGTGTTGTTGTGGTAGGCAAGACGGTGGAGCGTGGGATGCTGGGGAAACCCCTCCTACTACTGGTGTTATGTGGCAATCTAGTTGCCCTACCTCGCTACTCACCAGCTTGCAGTCTCGCCTCTGGGAGGAGGTCTTGAGATCCGCACACTAATCACACACACGTCTCTGCGATGCACAGTCGTGCATGTAAGAGATGGAGATGTCATGGCATGACAGTGACATGAATTGTGTATCCCCTTGTTTTGGCACAAGGCAGTGGCATATTTGAAGGGAGGAACTGCCGAGTTGGTGGATGCGCAGGCAATATGATGTTTGGTGAGTCGAGGAGGGGTGGTTCGGAAGGATGTGAGGAGGTATCGCAACGGCTGCTTTGTGATGTGTGGCACTCCTGCAAGCATTGTCGGGTGCGGTGTGACGAGAAGTGTGTGGTGTAGTCATGGAGGGGAGAGGGGATGTGAAGATGATGTTGGTGGTGCAGGTGGGAGAGTGAGAGAGAAAGGAAGAAGTGGAGCCAAGGCATCGCGTGAGTGTGGTGTGGTGTGGTAGCATAACAGTGTGCGAGATGCCTCAGTTCCGTGGGTTCGTGATATGGGAGATGAAGATGAAGGAGGTGCATTGGTAATTGGCCTCGAGGATGGCGGTTAAGTAAGTGGGTAGGTGGGTGAGTGGGAGAGAAGTGGG